GACACTGACCCGAATGGCCAGCGTCCCTCCGTCCCCAGGGGAGGGCGTCCTCTCCGAAGGGCACTCCGCCCTCTGGCTCTCACGTCTGCATCTGCACACTGAGCCCTGGGAGGCAGACCCGGCCTGTCCCCTGGGCGGCAGCGGCTCTGGTGGTGCGGACACTGCCAGGCAGGAGGCCACGGGCACCGCCTCTGCTGGGGCGTGGGCGGCACGCGCATGGCCCGGAGCCCCTGGGACTGGACCCTGGTGCCCTGTCTGTGCGGAGCGCGGCTGGTGAGTGCCCACTGCTCTTCCCTCGGAAAACCGACACTGGTTTCCTTCCAGACAGAAATGACAGGGACGTTGGAGCCGCCGGGGCCTGGGGAGGGCTGATGGTGAGGGTCGTGCGGGGTGAGCTGTGGAGGGAGGCCTTATCCTGGGAGATGCCGGTCCCTGGAGCTCGGTCGGACCGAGCAGCCTCCCACCACGTGTGGGACAGCATGTTCTCTGCTCGGGGACCAGGTGGCTGAGACCACGGGCTCACGAGGGCTCCCGGAGGCTTCGCTTTGTGTGCTCACACAGCCCGGGTTTCCTGCGTGGGATGTGAGCAGGGGAGCCCCCAGCCGGGCAGGGAGTGGGGGCTGACGGGAGGCCCTGCCCCTGCAGATGGCCGGGCGGGATGGGGAGGGGGAGAGACCATGGGGCCCAGCCCCGGGCCTCCCAGGGCCCTCAGCCACGGAAACACAGTGACTCTGCGTCTCTGTGTCGCATCCAAAGATACAGGAGGAGGAAGACGAACGGGTGTGTTGCTTTATAAGGACCTGGCAGCCACCGTGCCCTGTGGGACATGCGTGTCGAACTGACATCCAGCAGACACACCCAACTCGCTGCCTTTTCTTCACAAGAAAATGAAGAGACAGAACCTTCGGACTGAGAGCCTGTTGGCCACGCCCAAGAGCTGTTTACAGATCTCCCGATGGAAGGCTTACAAATGCGCGCTTTCCCCGGCATCAGAAAGGATCCCTACGTGGACTCTGTGCAGCTTTACAAGGAGGGTGTGGGCAGGGGACAGGCTCCGAGATGAACCATTCTCTGGACACCGATCTCTCTGGCGGTGCTCGCGAGTCCCTCCCTCTGTGGCCTGTGCCAAGGAGAGAGGATCCTGGCGGAGGGACAGGCTCGGAGGGGCGGTGGGCAGGCCGCCCCAAGTCACCCTCTCACCGGGAGACCAGGGAGGAGGCTCGTCCACGGTTCACTGGGACGTGCACGGGTCCAGTGGGGCTCGCGTGGTTGTAAACGCCTTTTACCAAGTATTTAGAAGGAAGGAGGGTGCCCGGTGGTCGTCTTCAGCTTCTCCGGAACCGCCTGGTTCCCGGCGACCGCTCGGACCCGCCACAGCCGAGGGAGGGTCCTGGAGAACGTCAGGGGGCGGGTGTGACTGTTCCAGCGAGTGGCAGGCGGCCACCTGGTTCCGGAGGCACAGAGCCCTCCCCAGCCCACGTGCTCTCTTCCCAGGAAGCCGTGTGTGTTTCCTTGTAAATATGGACGAGATTTCCAGAGCTGGTCGGATAAGAGCGTGGTTTTTCTTAGAAGATAACTTCCCAGCTGCCCACGCCAGACAGGGCTGTGCCCCCTTCTGTCCTGTGGGCCAGAGGCGCCCCCTGCTGGCCACGCTTAGGCTGGCTCATCACTTTGGCTGACTTTTTAAAAAAATTTTATTAATATACTAGCGGTCTGGTGCACGGACTCATGCACCAGTGGGGCCCCTCGGTGTGGCCTGCGGGGATCAGGCCGAAACCTGCGGTCCGACGCCGCCTGCTGTTACTGCTCATCCTGGCCCTGCTGCAGCTGCGGCCGCTGCTCAGCTCCTGGTGCCTGTGGGTCAGCTGACTGGCGCTCCCGCTGTGGGAGCACACTGACCACCAGGGAACAGTTCCTGCGTTGAGCATCTGCCCCCTGGTGGTCAGTGCACATCATAGTGACCGGTCAACCGGTGGTTTGGTTCCTTAGCCTTATAGATTTTCATTGATTTCAGAGAGGGGGAGGGAGAGAGAGAGAGAAACATCAATGATGAGAGAGAATCATGGATCGGCTGCCTCCTGCACGCCCCACACTGGGGATCAAGCCCACAACCTGGGCATGTGCCCCATCGGGAATCAGACCCAGACCTCCTGGTTCATAGGTCAATGCTCAATCACTGAGCCACACCAGCCAGGCTTGACTGCCTTTGGAACCAGCTTGGTCCTCTCCTACCGCCGAGTGCATCTGCTTCCTGGTGGGGTATTTGCTTAACCTCACTGCTTCCACCTTGTTTAGGTAAAAGAGAAAAATTCTACATTATAATGTGACTAGAGGCCCTTGTGCATGAATTCATGCACTGGTGGGGTCCCGCAGCCTGGCCTGCACCCTCTTGCAATCCAGGACCCCTTGGGGGATGTCGGAGAGCTGGTTTTGACCCAATCCCCACAGGCCAGGCCGAGGGACCCCACTGGTACACGGGCACCAGGCCTCTAGTATGCATATAAGATCTTTGGTAAATCTCTTCCCGCCCTCCCCGCTCCTCCCTTCCCTCTGAGATCCATCAGTCTGTTCCATGTTTCCATGCCTGTGGTTTCTGCTCCTGCATTGAGCATCTGCCCCCTGGTGGTCTGTGCGTGTCATAGCTTCCAGCCGGCGGTTGTCCGGTTGGAACAGTCGCTTAGGCTTTTATATATAGAGAGAAGCTAAAATGCGTAGGGACCATGCCCAGCATAGAAAATGAGTACTTTCCCTCCTAGAAGAGCTACTGTCTTATCTTCGTGTGGTGCCCGTGTGGTGTCCATGTGTCTGGGCAGGTGTGTCTTAAGGGTTGGGGTCCATCCAAAACCATATTTTCTTTTTTTTTCTTTAAAGAGTCACATTTATTGCAATCCGGGACTATGAGGGGCCATTCCCCAAATCTCATAGTGATAAGATGCCCGCAACACCGGGTTTATATAGGCAAAGATCACAAAGGTATTGATTACATCCCAAGGTTTGGGATGAGGAACCTGGTTTGCAAAAAAGCAGTTTACAGAAGCAGTAGCAGCGTGTTATCTAAATTACAGTTTTGGGTCTCGGGGTCACTGAATTGACAGAAACACATTATCTAGAGCCCTCGGGCCTGGAATGAGGAACCTGGTTTGATCTAAATCACAGTTTTTGTGTGGCCTGCGGGGACCGGCACCTCGGAACACTGAGTCAACAGGGACACGTTAACTGGAGCCCTCTGACCTTGGGATAACCGTGCTGCCCTTCCCAGGTGAAGGAAAGTGTGCTTGCTAAGACCAGTGTGACCACAACCCATGGGATATTCACAGTACAATCAATAGGGTATTCAATCGAATGGGGTGATTTATATAATTCAGAAAATCAAAATAACTTTTCTATTATTTTAGCAAACAAGTAGTACAGAAACCAAACAGCAGGGTTAGAGTTTAAACTATAGTTTCTACCTGAGATGACTGCTACCATACTTCATTCCTCACTGGCAAAACCGTGTTTTCTAAGAGCGCGTTGGACATCATTTACTTTTTTCTTAATAATGAGGAGGCTGCGTTGTTCAAATGTCAGAGCTGGGACGTGGTGTATGGGGAGGGGGCGCTCCCAGCCACCCTGCACCCGGATCCTGACTGTCTAAGGGTTCGTGACCAGGAAATGGGGGACCCCCCCCCCCGCATCGGGCAGGTTCTGGGAATTGCAGGATAGGCCGTGGGAAACCTCGCCTTCGTGGGCTCCCGGGTCCAGCCCCTGCTCCTCTCGCTGGTCTCCCAGTGGGGACTCCCAGACACCTGGCTAGGCAGGCGTTCACATGGATTTAACAAAACCCTGGGAATCCCCGAGTCCCGCTTGCCTGGTTTGGGGCATCTCCGGCTCTCCACTCCCCTCCCTCCCAGGCCTGTC